ATGACAGAGGAAAAAGATGATTTTCTTTTTTCCTCTTTCATGAGTGCTATTTATCCACTCTAAGTATTTATACAGCATCAATCAACATATCTAAGCATTGACCTGTCCTGGGCACATTTCCCGACCTGTGCAGACATATGCCAAATATGAGTTGGAATTTATCAGCCGATAAGATTTCTCCATCACCACAGGTCACTTTGTAGTTAAAGCTAAAAACAGCTAAATAATTTCCTAAATAAAACAAAATGAAGACATCCACCTCCCATTCTCTCCTCCACCTACATCTTGACAGCTATATCAACAGAAATTCTAACATAGAAACTTTTGTACTTAAGAGATTCTGTTCTCATAGCCAAGATATTCATTTTACTCTGGGATGTTCAACAGAAAGATAATAGTTCTTCCCTGTCCATGTAGCAAAATAAGAATGCCACTCAAATTACTGTACACTGTAAGTCCTCTATACTAGCTGAACCTCTATTAGAATTCCCTTAAACCATGATGGGATATCAGTAAGAGGAACTGCCATGCAAAACGCTTTTCTATTTTGGAAAATGGATAATGATGAACTTCATCTGCATACGCATAATGGTGGTGGTGATGGTTGTAAGGTACATAGAGACTAATTAAGGATATAACCAGCTTCCATTATAATGGTTATTTCTGTCCCTCAATAATTTTAGTTTGGAATTAGATTACATTTGTTTACCAAAACAATGGCACTATTTTATCAAATACTTCACATTGTTGTTCCTTGATAATAATGTTTTGTATGTTGTTTAATAAGAAAAGCATATAACATAGTCAGCTTATAATTACATTAGACATATACGTGGACCTACATTTGAGGCTGGTCAACATGTACGTAATTATAGGCATCTTTTAGAAGGGTTTGTGCTTTCTGTGAGTTTACTGATAAAAGAGCAGTATTTCTTTTGGGTTAGAGTTAAGGCTGCACTGTAATGAATATGCATTTGGAACTTGGTAAGAATTATTATTACTAGAAAGCCTGTGCTGTCACATGGGGGTAATTTGTAAAGTCATGTGTGTAAGAAAAGCCAAATATGGCTGAGAACTTAAGTTGGGTGGTAACAGACTGTGAAATCCAGTGATGACTAAACCTGGTAATATTCTGAACATGACTGGATATTTCTATTGCTTTCGACTCACAAACATTCTAGGCTTCAGAGTGACAAGCTTAGAAGCTCGTTATACAGATGTAGGCTGGGTAAAGTTATATCATCCTTAACTAGTTGCTTATTTACTTAACAATTTTTAAGGAACGTGATTGATAAGAGACAAACTTAACTCTTAGCAATCTTAACTGGTTTTCTAAATGTAAGTTTTTGATTTTGGATTGTATCAAGAAAAATCATATCAAATAAGCAGCTAAACTGTCTTGCTGAAAAACATGCAGAAGATGCTATAGTACTGTTAATGCTTAAATTAGTGGCTCTTTGGAAGTTATCTAAAGTCATATGTAAAATGACACAATTCAGATGGGATTCAGAGATATATAGTAAATGATTATGGTGATGGATACTCTGAATTTTATATCTGATGCAAGTAAAATTGTCATTCTTTTGTTAAGTAAAGCTTCCTCAAAACACTTTGAAAAGGTTGCATGGGCAGCATTATAATCTGAATTATTACAAACAGTGAAAGAAATTAAAGCTTGGTGACAAAATTTTATCTGGGTAGAATAGAGTGCTTGTGGGACAATTCAAACGCGTATGGCAAAACCAGTAATATCTAAAATCAAAATACATTTATGTTAGCTAAAGTGACATGATAAAAGATTGAAAACAAGAGCCTGAAGTACAAGAACAGAGAATTATTAAGTAACACATTAGGAAGGTTTAAATTGAAACTAATGATAATAGCTCTAATCTCTGAAGGAAGTTATTTAAAGTGCATTCTATTCTGAAAAGATTCCATAGAAGTGGCATTGTGGGTTTTTGGCTTATTGGTTCTTAATAAATGCACACCAGATGTGTTCAGATTACAAATTACACCTAAAATGGTGTTTTATTTTTTGTTTTTTAATTAACTTCCAGTCCAGTAAACTTATCCTGGAATCACAGTTAGTTCTCTTTACCTCAGACATCTCCACCAGTGAAAAGTTCTGCAGGCCAAATTATGCCTCCAATGACACTGTAACCTCACTACCTTCAGTAGCTTTGCATAAGGGAATTAGAAGTAAACAACCCACACATAGAATAGAATAGAATTCAGTCCATTCACTCTTGGCTGTGCTGAGTCTGCACCGCTAACAGAATTTACACCTCCACAAAACATTAGGTCAGGGAGTTTTCAATGAACTTTAGACTCTTCAGTTGTAAGGAAGATTTATTGTTATCCCAAGTCTATCTTAGAGCTTTACTCTCCATGTCCAACTAATATATGCTACACTAATATATGTATACTCTCAATTGAACTCAGATTAAATAAAATCAAAAATCCATGTATGAGAAGTTTTATAAAGTGGACATTTTTCTAGGTGGTCTTAAATAATGTTTTAAAAGTGCAAGTCTTCATGGAGTTACGTAAGAATATAAGACTGGCCACAGTGGGTCAGACCAAAAGGTCCATCTAGCTCAGTACCCTGTCCTTCTGAAAGTGGTCAATGTCAGGTGCTTCAGAGGGAATGAACAGAACAGGCAATCATCAAGTGATCCATCCTGCTGTCCACTCTCAGCTTCTGGCAATCAGACAAATCTGTCCAGTCAATATTAATTTTTTTTACTGCAAACGCAAGAGAGAGGGAAAAAAATGGAGCCAAATTAATGCCTTAACTGATGTGATTTTTTTTAAAGCAACCTTAAGATATCAAAAGTATTCCTTTCATATCCAGGGTCTGATAGAAGACAAAACAGTATACTGTAAGTGGAACAGTTTTATTATACAATACTAGTTTTAATTCTGTCAGATACATGTCCAGTGAAATAACAATTCAATATTTAATTTGCCAAATGACTTTTTTCCCCAACCATTTCCAATCATTGTTTGAGGTTGAAAATAAAGAAAACCCTGGATCTAATGTCCTCCTATATCACTTCAGGACAGATCATAGCAGAGAATGCACAGAGGTGGACTTAGTGCCCACAATCTGTATAAGGTGATGATTTAGTACTTTTTAACTATCAGTGGAGTAAAAGCAGCTATACACAAAGGAACAGAGTAGGTTATAAAGTCAAGACCTATACTCCCCCTCCTTTAAAAAAAAAAATCTGATATATATCATACCATCACTATAGCAAGTCTACAAAGGACACATTTTAAATTCTTATTTTCAGATACTGTTCTGCTTGAAGTTTTCATACTTATTCTTTAACCTAGAAAAGATTTTCCCTAAGGAAAGCTTACAGGAAATTCATTAGGCATATTTTGAGTTGGTTAAATGTTAAAAATGCTTTTCAACAGTAAAAGCACCTGAACAGTTGCTTGTACTCAGGATCTTCAAGTTATCTTCAAACTTAGCACATATGCTGTTACAATCAAGGCTTTGCAACATTTGAAGGTAACACACTTGAAATAAAGTTCAGAATGTTCGAAAGCTTACAGGTAAAAACCCCACACTTAAAACACAAATGTCTTTATTTGCAGAACCCTCTCTCTACTCACATGGTAGAGTCTGGTGAGTGGAGGTGGGATGCAGGGGCAGCAGATGGAGCCAAAACCTTAGTAACAGAGGCAGAGCTACTTCTAACTAAGGAAGCAAGGAGGAGCAGCGGCTTCCAGATTAGTGGTCTTGCCAAAAAAAAAAAAAAAAAAAAAAGCTAATTTTAAAAAGTAAAAACTTACTTACTATGTCATTGTTTCTTTGCATTTGGCTCAGCTTGCATAATGAAAATAATCTATTTGGTTTGACTTTTGTTTAGTCAGTTTCCCAAGGTATTAGCATAACGGTGCACTATTTAGATTGCAAACATTGCAGAAAAAGTTTTTTGTTTAAAAATCCTGTGTTTCCACTGAAATTGAAAAAAAAAAAAAAAAAAAAAAGAATGGAAAAATTTCAGTTCTTAAGTTTTGAAAAAGCTTACTTTTACAAAACTTATATTTTGGGTCAAATTCAACCTCTTTAAAAACTGTGCATTCAGCAAATATATTACATTACTTTGCTTACTTATATGCAAGTACGATCCAAAGTGAGGCATTCCAACGGTATATATATTATAGTAGATATATAAATGCATCCTGGGATAAATAAATTATGGAATTAACAGGAAGCTGTAACCATGCTTGAGTAAGTGAGGTTTTGCTGTTTGAATATGCTAAATTAGGTCAGTCCAGGTCAGCTCTAAAGAAGGGTGGGAAAGTGCAGAACATGTATCTCTTGAACACCACAATTTTCAAATAGTGCACCTTGCATACGTTAAAGTCCTATTACAATATTAAGTGTTCAAAATCAACAGTATGATAGCATGTTCTGTTAGCATGATAGCTTTTGAGTGCAGGTTCAGTTCAGCTTCTTACAGGAATGGATTTCTGGATGCCTCTCATAGAATAGTCTTTTCATTTGATGCTTACAGCCTTGAATATTTACAACAATGACATCTGAGCTGAGATTTTTCAGACTTTTTAGCCCTAAATTAATTTGTTTGCAAAGTTTCAAGAAAATTCTTTCAGTTGTTTTTCTCAGAATTAGTCATTCAAATAAACGGTTGTTGACAAGAGGTCAGAATCTTGGATTTGCACTTCTTCAAAGGTCTAACAGCATATGGAGTTGTACACCTTGGTTCAAAACCAACATGAAATGGAGCATGCCCCCTACCAAAATCACCAGCATCACCATTGTTGATCCAAGAACAGCTCTGATTTTCAAACTTCACAGAAATTCAATGGTGTAATTTCAACGTTAAACCCACTAATATTTTGGAAACTTTTTTTTTTTTTTTTTATAAAGGAATATGGCTTTTGCCAGACCATATTTTAAAGCTGTTTTCAGATCAACTTTAGTACGAATAAAATATGAAAGCAGAATCTAAAGCTTAGGTTACCTTTTTATCCCCCTGTTTTCGCCTTCGTAGCCCTGGTCTGTAATCATCTCCAAACCGCAAAAAGTAATAATAAGAAACTAGTCGTTCTATAGGATCTCTTATGACATTAATGTAAATTGGTTTCTTTTTAACACCAAATCTGAAATAGAAAATAAATAAATAAAAATGTCAAACCAACGTTTTTTCTGCAGTATCTCAAAAATGTATTTACTGACATTAGGTAAAAGTAAAAGTGTATACATATTACAGACAGGAAATTTTAATCTTTAGTGCCAGGAAGTCAATATTTCACATTAGGGCTATATATTACTGTTTGAAAGAACAGAAGAGTGCTGTCTGAAAAAGGACAGATGAAAAAAGTATTGAAAACAGAGATATTCTCTACCTTGTGATGGAGGGTTCCAGAAATGTTAACACAATAGATTCTTGTTTACAGGAAAAAGACAAACACAAAAAACCAAGCCACACACCAGGTAAGTCAATTCTGTGTGTGTCTGTATGATTTTTTGTTTGTTTTTAATATAATCCAACCCGTGTCTTTGAGCTAAAACAATATTGAAATGTCAATAATTACATCCTGCCTGCTTCCATACCAGGTGTAGAAAGTTTTAATATAAGTAACCTGACCTTAGAAATTCCTTCCCTCGGTCTAGCAACCAAATATTCACACCACAGAAGCCCTCAGGAGGTTCGGTCTTCTTTTCCTGCTTCCTGCAGTTGTTGCTGTTCTAACTGTGCTATGCACTAGTGAAGTAAGTGGTATTCCTGGCATGATGCCAAGGACAGAGATGCACACTACAAGGAAGGGGAGGTGCTCAGGGACTGTCATTTGGCTAGGATTATAAAATGTGGGTGTTCTTGACACAAGCAGAAACCAACACTTCATTTTCTATTACAGGCTTCAGAATGGTAGCTGTGTTAGTCTGTATCAGCAAAAAGAATGAGGAGTACTTGTGGCACCTTAGAGACTAACAAATTTATTTGGACATAAGCTTTCGTGGGCTAAAACCCACTTCATCGGATGCATGGAGTAGAAAATACAGTAGGAAGATATACATATAAAGAGAACATGAAAAGATGGGGGTTGCCTTACCAACTTTAACAAGACAAATCAATTACAGTGGGCTATTATCAGCAGGAGGAAAAATCACTTTTATAGTGGTAATCAGGATGGCCCATTTCAAACAGTTGACAAGAAGGTGTGAGTAACAGTAGGGGGGAGAATTAGCATGGGGAAATAGTTTTTAGTTTGTGTAATGACCCATCCACTCCCAGTCCTTATTCAGGCCTAATTTGATGGTGTCCAGTTTGCAAATTAATTCCAGCTCTGCAGTTTCTCGGAGTCTATTTTTGAATGTTTGTTGTTGAAGAATTGCCACTTTTTGGTCTGTAATTGAGCGTACAGGGAGGTTGAAGTGTTCTCCGACTGGTTTTTGAATGTTATAATTCTTGACGTCTGATTACTGTCCATTTATTCTTTTGAGTAGAGACAATCAGGTTTCGTCAATGTACATGGCAGAGGGGCATTGCTGTCACATGATGGCATATATCACATTGGTAGATGTGCAGGTGAACGAGCCCCTGATGGTGTGGCTGATGTGATTAGATCCTATGATGATGTTCCTTGAATAGATATGTGGACAGAGTTGGCAACGGGGTTGGTTGCAAAGATAGGTTCCTGGGTTAGTGTTTTTGTTTTCTTTCCTCCTGCTGATAATAGCCCACTGTAACTGGTTTGTCGGTGACTTTTCAAGATTTTTTAAGGCCCCTGTGCTACCTAAGAATGTTATTTTGGGGCCAGACTAATGACAGACCTGGACAGAGGCCTGAACATTTGGTCTTATAATGACCATTCTGACTGACTAATGCAGAGCTCCTTGGAGCTGGATTGTGTTATGACATATATTTGTACACTTGACAATTACAAGAATGCAGAACATACTCACAGTTTCTTTAAAAGTATAGGTCAAAAGCAAAGAGCAACCACAGTACTCACTATATGATTTTAATAATGAAAACCACAAATAAGAGAAAGGAAGCTGTTGTGGGAAAAAATTAGACATTTAGGTAAAAGGGCAACAAACAGCAAAACACAAGGATAACACAGCCCTGGAAGGAAATATGAACATGAATGAAATCTGTGAAATTGCTTAGATGCCTTTCTACAGGTACAATAATTATTTTAATCTGGAAAGTTCCAGAAGATGTTTTCAGCTTTATGCCTTTAGTAATGTAAAGAATAATATTCACCTAGCTGTTCACAAGGCTGTTATTCCATTAAGGGTTCAAGTCAAAAAGTCCATTAATATAGTATTTTAACTTTTTTTAAAAGGTGGGAGAGGAGGTTGATGCAATGTGAAGCACAGGGTTTCTTCATTTTATTTCATGGTTTTTTTTTAAATTAAGGTTTCTCTCCTTCTGTTTCTTTTAGCAATCTTGAAATTTCAGCTGCTGCCCACTGGTAATTTCCAGCTGACATAGTGGCTTTTCGGACTTTCTATTAGAGATAAGCTAAATTGGGAGTTTATGATGCTCCCCCATTTTACTTTTACTTTTTTTTTTAAATAAAAAGTTATAATTAAAAATTACTTCTAGAGAGGGGTTTAAAGGCTACAAACCAAAAGATCTTTACCCTCTGAGGTCTTAGTTAATTGTCTGAGTGGAAAGGAGGAGGAACACAAGTGATGGGGAATATGGGCATGATCTTGCACCACTGAAGTCAATAGGAGTTTTATTATTGACTTCAGTGGGAGCAGGATTAAGCTCTACAAAGGGGATCATTATTCAGTGTATTTTCTATGTATTTTTGTAAAGATAGTATTAGTGTATAGCACAAAAGTGACTGCTTTAATGTATTGGTATGTTATTAACTGTGGCATGTTAAAAACTAAATTTAAAAAAGTTTAAAATGTATGGTGAACATGAAGAGCCACAAACTTCAAAGTAACCTAACTGAATACCAGTTATATGGTGTTACTTATTAGATGTGGTATGTTAGATTGCGTCTAAACTTCTCAGCCTGTGAAGCATATCACTAGGATGACACACTCAGTATTCAGAAGAGCGAGCTGAAATTCTCAGGCAAAGGCACTCCTGTTGCTCAACCAAGGAATAATATTGCTAACTTGTGGAGTCAGGTCCTAAACGATGAGCTAATTCTTTTTTATCATGCAATAAACAGGACAAAGTTGTATTAAAAATCTAAAGGGAATATTGCTATTTTGAAGGACACTCAATGTTTGAATTTTTTTAAAAACAGTTGTCAGATTCTGATCACTAGAGGGCAGTAATATTTAAGATGGATCTACATAATCTACTTGAACTACTGGACTCCACAACTGAAAGCTGGTAAAACTATCACGTTTCGGAAGGAAATATTTTATCTACTGTGTAGTTTTAAGAATATAAACAGTATCAACCATTGTAGATGAAACAAATCATTGGGTAACTTACTTTGCAAAATCCAAGTAAGATATATGTCCATGATAAAATCCTGGTTTCATTTCCTTCCAGGAAGTTACATTCTTCACAAATCGCACCTACAAAAGTAGAAAACAGTCAATATTCCAATACTGTTTGGAATGGCTGATGCTTAGCTTCCAATAATATGTTCCATTCAATAAGTAAAACCGAACAATGCATTATGATAAAAATCTATCACTATGAATATTACCAAAAGACATATGACTAACTGAAAAGGATACTTTATTTAGAAGCACATGGCAATTGACTCATCTTAGAGAGCCACAATTTAAAGCTAAAAAAATATGAAGCAGAAAGTAGCAATCAGAAAGGCAAAGAAAGCAAAGTCAGAAATATGATCAATACAAACAACATTTTAATTAGTATTTTTTGTTAGCCTGAAACATAGTTTGAAGGCAATACAGAGTTCCCTCAGCAGTGAGCAACAGGGACCAAATCCATCAATCTGTATTCAGATTCCAACAGATTTTCCACAAGAAGGGAACGATTTTTTCTTCAAATGTGTTAGGTGAAACGCTGGTTTTTTATAGGATCTATTTTACAGGGACATGAAGGCATCAAACCTGGTGGACCATTTGCTCAAAAGGAACAAAATTTTAATTTTTGGATGGACCATCAGCCAGACTGCATTTCAGCACTATGTTTAGTTTAAGGTACATCTGCATTCTTCTCTGGAGCTTATTACTAGGAAAAATTAATTTAAGCCCAAAAGCTCAACATGACAATCTAAATCTATACAGGGATGGTGTCCCTAGCCTCTGTTTGCCAGAAGCTAGGAATGGGCGACAGGGGATGGATAACTTGATGATTACCTATTCAGTTCATTCCCTCTGGGGCGCCTGGCACTGGCCACTGTTGGAAGACAGGTTACTGGGCTAGGTGGACCTTAAGTCTGACCCAGTATGGCGGTTCTTATGTTCTTAGATCATACCAAGGCATGAACTAGCCCTTAGACAAGAGCTGATCAAGTTCTAAGCGGACCTCACATTTGGAAGATGATCATGCAGTACAAAATAAGATACATGGCCCAAATTGCAGTGACTTACTTTTTTTTAAAGGAACGTACCAGTAGGGTATTTGAGTTGACTTCAGATTCATGCCTCCCCCATTTATGTTTATGCACCCACTGTGCTGTAGTACTTGGGGGAAATAACCTGGTAAATGCATCACAGTAAACTGTGCACAACAGACTTCAGAAATTGTTTGCCTCACTGTGCCATATCAGCCAACCATAATACATAATTTACTGATGGTTATTTATTGCAAAAAGATATGCCTTGCACTACACACTTCAGTTTAGTAAATTTCTGGATCCATGGAGCACTAGATGAAGAAAGCCCCATTGTCAAGGGAGCCTCCACTGAAAAGGACTTACTTGCAGTCTTGAAGAGCATGCTTCCATATGGTCAGCAAAATTGTTTCATCACAGTAGTGCACAGAGATAATGTCCTTGAGTTAGCCAGGTTCTAAATAATATAACTACTGCAATATTGGATGCAATAGTACCGAGTACCCCTCTATGGGTTGGTGAAATGCTGTAACAGCTGCTAGGTAGACCCTACGAGAGCTTAGGGATAACCCCCGATTTTTTAAGGGTCAGGGCATATTCCAGAATATGGGAAAGAGTTGCTGACACTGGAGAGATTTGTTGGGATGTGCACCAAATCTGGAACCTGGACCATTTCTGCAGGTAAGTGCGTCTTGCGGAGGACTTTCTACTGTGTAGTAGAACCTCTTGCACTTCCTTTGAGCATGAGCTTTCTAGGTGCTGGAACACATAGGATCCATGCCTTGAGGTGGAAGATCCCCAAGTTGGGATGTATGGTATACCCTGTGTCCTGAGAGAGGGAAGGTGCAGAGTGGCTGGAAGGGAAAATCAGTGGGCACATTGCGAGCTGCAGGTAAGGGTACCAGGTCTGTCTCAGCCACGTGGGAGCAATCAAAATTACATAAGCTCCGTCGCTCTTTATCTTTAGCAGGACCTTCAGCAGAAGAGGAAATGGAAAGAAGACGTAAAGAAGGTCCTTGTCCCATGAGAGGAGAGAGCATTGCCCAGAGAGTGCCGTTCAATACCCGTCCTGGAACAGTCCGATGGACACTTCCTGTTTTGGTAAGTGGTGAACAGATCCATGGACGGTGTTGCCCACTGTGCAAACAAGCCATGAAGTACTGATGGATGCATCTCCCACTCGTGGTCATGCAAGAAAGGGCGATTGACTTGTCCGCTACCACTTTCTGCATGCCCAGGAGGTAAGCCACGGATAAGGTGATGTTGTGAGAGATACACCAGTTCCACAGTTTCATTGACTCTGTGCATAGAAAGGGTGATCTGGCTCCTCCCTGGTGGCTGATATAATACATGCAGACTATGTTGTCCATCAGGACCTTTATATGTGATCCTGTTATCAGTGAGAGGAAATTGGCACAGGCGTTCCTCACCGCTCTCAACTTAAGGAGATTGATGTGCAGGGACATCTCTGCAGGTGACCATTTGCCTTCTGTTGTGATATCGTTTAAATGCATGCTCCATCCTATGAAGGGATGTGTCACTGGTAAGGAGTTATGAAGGTGGCGCCTGTAAGGAGGGGATCCCTTCGCATGTATTGGCCAGGTTCTTCCACCAGTCCATGGAATTCTTGATCCTGGTGGGCAGTGACAGGGCTTTGTCCAGAATGTCCCTGTTTGGTCTGTTAACCGAGCTGAACCACAGCTGTAGGCATCGCATGTGAAGTCTGGTGTGTGAAATCACTGCTGTGCCAGCTGCCATATGCCCCAGGAGCTGGAGGCAGATTCTTGCTGGCACTTGAGGACTGCATTGAGCCATGTCTATAAGCGACACCAGGGATAGAAATTTGTCCTGATGTAGGAAGGCTTTGGCCTATAGCTCATCTAGGTCAGCCCCTGTGAATTCTAGGCATTGCCCTGATGTGAGGGTCAACTTCTGGGAACCGATCTGCAGGCCCAGCTCCGTGAACAAGCATATTGTGTCTTTAGTGGCTCGACGAGCCTCCTGAAGCTACTGGGTTCTCAGGAGACAATCGCACAGGTAAGGGTAGATCATTATCCCTTGAGATCGTAGCTAGGCAGCCACAACTGAGAGAACTTTGGAAAATACTCTGGGTGCCGATGGAAGTACGAAGGGGAGGAGTGAAACTGAGGAAACATCTGTGAGCTAGTAGTATTGAGATGTGAAAGTAGGCATCTTGTAGGTTGATGGCCGAAAACCAGTCTCCCTGTTCCGGTGATGGAATGATCGTCAATAGGGTGACCATCTTGAACTTTTGAGCTTTGACGAACTTGCTGAGAGCTCTGAAATCCTTTCCTGGTGGGAATTGGGAAGTAACGAGTAGAAGCCCTTGCCTCGTAGATGCTGAGGTACTGGTTCTATGATTCCTAACTGCAGGAGTCTATCTCCTACCATAGTAGACTCTTGTGAGAAGGGTCTCTGAAGAGGGATGGGGAAGGGTGTTGTGGAGGGGATAGGGAGGTGAAGTGGATGAAATATCTGGATCTGATGATCTCAAGGACCCATCTGTCTGAAATTATGCACTCCCAGGCACTGTGGAATGCTGCCAAATGGGTGTGTGGTCACAGGTAGTAGAGGGGAGTGATCTCTTGGTGCCTCGACCTGCCAGTCAAAAGTGATGCTTAGGGGCAGATGTTTGGGTCAAGGACTGGTAACCCAAAAACTTTCATTTTGAGAACATTCCCTTTTTCCTCTGGGGCTCATAGCGCTGTTGTGATGGGAATTGGGATGAATAAGGCCTTTGCTGGTATTGAGGGCTGAAGCGTCTCTTTTGCCCCAGTGTGTAGATTCCCAGTGACCTGAAAGTAGCCCTGGAATCCTACAAGGAGTGGAGAGAGGTGTTGATCTTCTCGGTGATGAACTTCACCTCCTCAAAGAGGAGGTCCTCTACCATGGTCTGCATCTCTTTCAGGAAACCCGAGAGGGGAAGCCACAATGCCCGTCTCATCATCACAGGCTTTTTTACCATCAGTTGCCATTTCTGGATAATGGCCTGGAAGGAATCCCGGGAGCTATCCAGCAGTTTATCAACAAAGTCTTGTAGTTTATTGCAATTTGTATACTCATGCTTTGCCGTGAACGCCTGGTAATTGGAGATTCGAAACTGTAAAGTGGCTGAGGAGTATGCCTTCCTGCCAAAGAGATCAAGACGCTTCCAATCTCTGTCATAGAGTGCTGTCCTAAAGCGGTGTTGTTGGCCATGAGCGTTCACAGCATCCACCACAATGGAACTGAGCAATGGGTGAGTAAATAGGAACTCTTGATTTCTTTGCGGGGACATAATTTTTTTTGTCTGCCTGCTTGCATGTCGGGGCCACCGAAGCTGGGATTTGCCACACCATCTTAGCTAGGTCTAGGATGGCCTCGTTAATTGGGAGGGCGATTTTGGAGGTAGATGAGGCATGGAAGATATCGATGAGCTAGTGGTGTGTATCTTTAACTTCCTCCAATGGTATGTGGAGGGTGTCCACCACACTCTTCACCAGTTCGAGACATGTGGAAGTCATGGACGGTGGCAACAGCATGACTGTTTTGTCCAGTAAGGAAGAGGATATGGCCGTGAGTGTGACCGCCTCCTCTGCGTCCACCTCTCGCTCTCCACTTCCAAGGCATGCGATACTGTAGCCAAGGGGCATGCCTGGGAAGCGCTTGGGCAATGCTCAATGCCCTTAGACGGGCTGGTGGTGCGCCACCCAGGGGTCCTAGTATGGCCCCTGTGGGGGCATATGGCCTGGCGGAGGTGCCCACGGGTGGCAGTGCCATCTGGTGGTACAGTCCCAGACCCTGTTGATATCAGGTCCCATATAAAGCTTGGGAGGAAGAGAGAGAAACCCCATCTGTCTCACTGTCCGATCCCTCACTTGACATCAGAGGGGCATGGCATGATTGTGCGGGAATACCCTTTGGTCAGCCATGCTCAGTGCTGTGATCTCGATACCGAGGGGCAGAGAGTCAGGAGCTTCCGACATAGCCAGGTCACGAGCCTGATGAAATTTTGCCAGTACTGAACATCCCAGCGTCAGTAGTGGTGCTGGGAGAGATGAGGACCTCACCCGTACCGATCTTTCCAATGGCAGATGGGCCACTGCCGCTGGTGGTACCGATGACAGCTTGCATACTGGGAACATCTTAGGGCATTTGACCGTGTCTCTCTCTACCAAAGATTCAATGCCCATGCCCAAAGGATCCGTGGGCTTGTCAACAGTACTGGACACCAACAGAGATGGTGATCACTTTCGGCTATCCCTCGGGCTCACTGAGGGGACTTGAGTTTTCGAATTATGAGAGGAGTCCCAAGACCGTTTGACCCACTATCCTTCAAAGTTGAAGGGAAGACTCACACCCGCCGGAGGGCTAGGGTCAGAGAGCTGCCTCCATACAGATGATTTTCTGGTGGAGATCTCTGACCTTGCGGGAATCTCAGTTGGAGCTGCTGGCAGAGGGAACACCTTTTTGGACGTGGCCCTTGCCGAGGCAGCAAATGCACTGGGAGTGCACCGGGATTGCCTTGCTGCAAGTGCGACACTTCTTGAAGCCTGGAGAGCTGGGCATACCCTTGTCAGGGGGTCTCCTCTCACCCACAAGGGGTCAACACAAGAACAAAATCTTTTTTTTTTTTTTTTAAGTCAAGGCCAAATAAAAGTCAAAAGAAGGCTAAAGGGTTTCTAAAAGCTAAAAAAAAGGCTCCGTCTCTAACCGGGGGCGGGTGAGAAGGAACTGAGGACGGCTAACCCACGCGCACTGGCTAGCCTCGTGGAACAGCATGAGGAAACAGTGCATGCGTGGGCCCAGTGGACACTGCTACCAAAGTTCTCCAATCAGCAGCGCAGGGATGCAGACACTTACAGTGGAGCACCCATAGGGGCACCACTCGAAGAAGAACCGTTAACTTACTCTATGTTTCATGCTGGTCCAAGCAAAACCCATGGCTAAGAAGGTAATATCAATCATAGCATACAGTCATCATGTATATCAGAGGCCTGCTTAGATGATTTAGCCAGGACTTTTCTTAGCTCATCTTTCAACAGATGGTACTCAGTCCAGCACAAGCCAAGACAGGGTAAGTGAGCTGCTGTACTGCATTTGGTTTAAGATGTGGACATGTACTAAAAAGAACTTCTGAAGTTTTATGACAACCCATAGCCATGCTGGAGGTAAATGATTTTTTCCCCTCATTGGGTCACTGATGACTATTTCTTGCAATTCTCTGTCTCTCTCTCCTGTTGAATGTGGGTCGGCTTTTGTTTGCTTGTTTGTTTTATTTTAAAGGGCCTTGTAGCTACTGGGGCTCACATGAGTCAGTGATTAAAGTTTGTGTCCAAACTAAGTAAGATCTTTGAGGTTATTTTGGAAAATACAAGTAAGTGTGAATGAGTTTCTATGAAAGTGTTTTCCAGGTATTTTTAGAAAAATAACTGAAAGGCTATTTCAGAGCTCCTAATAGGTGTTAGCTCAGCTGAGCTTCACTGAATTGAAAACTGGATCAAATGTACTCAGAGGAGCTAAGTAGTACTGCAAGGAAAACAGGAATGAAGGATGAAGTTCAGTTTTCTAGGTAACTGGAAGCTTAAAATGATTCCAGCGATCAAACAAGAGGTGCCAGAAGGTCCTATATCAACTCAGCAAAATAAGCCGGGGAATATTTACATTAAAGAAAAGTGCATACAGCACAAAACTGGTGTCCTACTACACAATTTACTCCCAATTCACCAATTACCTCTCCTTGTCCCCTAAATCCATCCTTCTTCCTCCCTGCAGTACTGACCATATATCTAGCTTTTTCCTATGACTTTGTGTCCCAGGAACTTCTTTTGAGACACCTGAAATGTTCCAGCTTTTCATTATGATGTTGGCTTTGTTTATAACTTCTAAATACTTGTTCAAGACATATTGCTATACTGAGTAGAATTAGCTCTGCGTTCACCAGGAACAAACAGTCCAGTAGAATGAATGCAGTATGGGGTGAAGAGAAAATTCTAAAGAAACTACCAAAACTGTCTTTTTGCTTAAGGTGAATGATAATGACATTTGTTCAGTGTTTCATGCTGAACTTATTCAGAGCACTAAGCTAGTGGAAAATATCCACTATGAGAAATACAGTTACCTTAGTCTGAGGCCCCTTACTTCCCAGGCTGCATGCGCCTCTTGTCAACAGCAGCAGCTACTCCACCGCTATGTTCCTTTTCTCCCAATAGGCAGGGCTAATCATTTTGCTATTGCACCTCTCTTTCTCTGACTGTATTTTTCGTGCTGACTATTTTAGTATTCCTTTTTCTGGAGATAATTTCCTCCCCCGCAGCGCCATCTGAGTTGCTTATTGGAGGAAGGGTGGAACAGATGACCATGTAGCAGCCTTACTGGCTGGTTCTAAAGGGAATGGAGTCACAGCAACCAGCCCTTGACTGGCTGCCAAAAAATCCAGAAATTTGCAGGAGAGGCAACAAGTGGTGGACAGAAAACCTGAGATTCCCCAGTTCTGGGACGGACTTGAGGAAATCATGACAACTAACCACTCTGAATTTAGGAACACAGATTGCTACACTGAAGCAGAACAGTGATCCATCAAGTTTGGTACCATGTCAAGAGGTAGAAATCCTACGTAGGCAGGAATGGCTTGAAACTTTTCTAGGTGACAGGTTATCACCCCAAAAAGTTAGGGCTTGTCTACACAACCTCATAATTTGGGCTACAGGAGTGTGAACTGCAGTGCACACCAAAATACTCCAGCTCCCTCGTGGGGATGCTGCTAGTGTGAACTAAAAGGTATCTAGTTTGCATTAACATAGACCTGTTTGAAGAGGACTACATTAATGTGAACTAGGTACCTTTTAGTGTGTGCTAGTAATAGCCATACGGTAGAGTTAAGCCCATAGAGGTTGCCCTGAAACTTGAAGGCGTTACATCCTTTCCAGAGTTTTTGTTTATTTTAAAAAAATATTGACTATTGTCAAATATTTACAATACAGTTGGCAGAAGCCTTGGTACGAAAACCACTTCAGTTTCTTTAAGTCAGTGATTCATATTGTCCATTGAAACACTGCTTTCTGAATTTAAATTATCCAAAATGCTGAAATAAAACCAAATACGTTTCAATCGTAGGTTCTTTCTCAGAGACAGACACACACAGTTCAATTACTTGTTAAGAAAACAGCTCATTATCCCTGCCAATGATTAATCTTACTTTATTTTACCTATAACTAAGGGCTACTGAGGTGAAACAACAACCCAGAATCTTGATCCTGACTTGACAATATGCCACAAGCAGCTATAGCATTACCAGTAATGCTATATTTAGTTGATCCATGTTCAATTATATTACAGAAAAAATAGGCTAACAGAGATTTGGGATCTGATTTTCAAAGTCAGGAATGTGCATACGTGAGACTAATTCAGGCACATGATTTCATATGCAAATTGGACAACCGTATACTTTAACAGGTCTAATTGGTCACTTGCATATGCAATTATATTTATGAATTTACTCACAGTAACTGCATTGGCAAATTAGATACACAACTGTGCACAACTAATTTTGCAAGTAATGTTTTTCTGTTAAGCTAAACACTGCAAGCAGAGCAACATTATGTAGTGCGGGATTTTTAAAGAATAGGGTTTAAAAAAGAACTCAGAAATATTCAGGGACACAGAAGTGGACTGAAAACTTGCTGAACATTATATAATACCAAACACTTCCTAATACAATTTTCCTTGAGATGTTCATTGCATTATGTTATTTCCTCTCTAGTAATTTATAACTCACCTAGCTGAATGAGCTTTTTATTCTTCTCGTTTAAAATATATTTTTGGAGAGTTAACTTTGATACCCATGGAAGTGGTGAAGTGGAAGCACTATGTACAGCCAAGCATAACGTGAATAGACAATATACTAGACAAGTATTACACATTGCTACGCCAATGCAGGTCAATCCTGATCCACTGTATCCCTTTTTATTCTAGTCTTTGACCTTTAAGCAGAGACTTCTATCATGCCAAGTAGTGTGGTAAATTAATCCTGTTACATAATGAAACAATATTAACTTTCTCCATATACAGAGAAAATATCATTCTAATTATAAACTTATTTAATAAAGCTACATTATAATGGCACCCAATTCCATCTGTTCCTCCGGTTATATTTATAATAGCAAATGACTATTCTTTGTGGACATATGTACACACTCAAAATGCTTTTTCCTGAATAGTGCTGAACACACAATAAAATATCTAATATATTAAAACTGCTGAAGTGGCTAAAAACCCATACCATCATGTCCACAAATTTAACTTACCTGATCTTGCAGTGACATAACAGGATTATTTTTGGTTGTATTGATATGCAGAACATGATATTTGTTCTTTGCACAAAGGTCATAGGCAATATTTGTGAAGGATGTGCTTGCAGTTTTAGGTACTCTGTTGTAAATGATCACCACATCATCATCTTCATCCACAGTTGCATCTTGTCGAGGACCATCTATTGTATGACGTTGTTCTATTTCTCTGACTTCATGTCTTGCAATAGCTCTTTCTGTAAAGAGAAACAGAAAAACTAAGCTTTCAGTGATAATGAAAAAGTAGATAGTGATCTTGAAACTCAGTCCTAAGAATTAAAATGACAAAAAAGGTTAAAAACCATCTTACTAATAAAGAAAACAACTACTAAATTGTTTGTTTTTTAATGTCTGGATTTAAAGTTTTCCATTCCCGCTCAATGAGTTTTTATAGATTAAGCTAAATTATGCTTGGAGACAAAATATGTTGTTTGGAAACTGATAAACAGTGAGAGATATTCTTTCCTTTGACTTATGTTAGCATTAAAACAAGCTATCCTCTTTTCTTTAAAAAGTTGTCTCTGATGCTGTATCAAAATGGTAACACTTCTCACAAGTCCCCCCAAAATCCTATAAAATACCCAGTACTCAGAAATGATACTAGGTAAAAGGAATAATTAGTTCAAATATTAAAGTATAAAATATGTATTTAAAAAAAAACGTAAAATCACTGACCATAGATGGCTTAGTCAATTAATGGTGAAGAGGCACTGGGAGTTTAAATAAAACTACTATTGTTCTTATTCCAATTAAGACAACTCCCCACGTGTAAATACTACAATGTATGGTTTTGCAAAAATCTAATTAGATGTATTACACCCAAATTTGATAAGAAAAGAAACAGGAGAAGCTTATGAAATGATTTACATTAGGGGGCAAAATTATTGCCCTGAATACAAAACTATATCAAACACAAGGAAGGGGAAAAAAAAAGAAAAGCAAGCCCTGAATAAGACATGTTTTGGAGAGGTGGGTAAGCTACAAATAAAAATAAAAATTTCTTTTACAAGAAGGACAATGCTCTGGGCAATTGGTCTCCTCTTCAAATATCAAAGCTACTTGGAAAATGAGAAGTAGATCGTTATGGCTCTACAGTATGCCAAACATACTTTGTGCTGACCCAGACAAAATTCAAAACCTTTGTTCTATTCAGGTTAAGTAGAGCACCCACCACCATTCACAATTTAAATTTCAAAGCATCTTTTTAGAATTATGCATTATAATACTACTGTCTTTAATGGTGTACCTTTTTTTCCACATGGGTCAACAATAAGGTTTGAGCTCAGGATCTAGAGATTCATATCACAAACTTTTTCTACTTGAACTAAAGGAATAATTGTTAGTAAAAATAAGCTGTTGTCCTTTATATGGAGTACTTCCTAGAGCAGTGGTCCCCAAATTTTTTCTGTCACGCCGCCCCCTTTACCAGTAGTGGAATCTGTCCATGCCCCCTGGAAGCCACGCTCAGAGGTGGGACCAGGAGCAGGGCCACAGTTGTAGCCAGGGGTGGGGCTGAGGCAAGGAGCGGGGCTGGAGCTGCAGCCACGGACTGGGGGCCTAAGGCTGGGAGCAGGGCCTGAGGCTAGGAGCTGTGGCCAGGGCTGGGTGGTGTTCCCTTCCTGCCCCCTGTAGGGACTGGCCTGGTCCCCTGCCGAAAGTTCCTACACACACACACACCCCAGGAGGGTGTGCCCCACAGTTTGGGGACCACTGTCCTAGAAAGAGGTTATGACACACACTCAGCAAGGCACAGCTATGTGTGACAACAGGGGAATGTTAGTTATGATCCTGGCTTCTCTTCCTGGCTCAAGGGCAGTGTGGTCTAGTGTTTAGAGCAGTGATTACAGACCGCATAGCTATATATACAGATTTGGCACATTCGAAGACAGTGTGACAGAATGGGTTAGAGTTTGCTCTGTCATATTAGAGACCTGAGTTATAATCCCAGGTCTGCTTGAAGTGACCATGGGCAACCTCTCGATTACCTTACTTGTAAAATGGATAATACTGGTCTTCCTCTTAGCTTACAGATATGAAGCTTTGCTCAGTAGTCAGGGTTATGAACCAGTGAGACAAGAATCTAATGTTCGATCCTGGCTCTCAGCCCAATGCACTTTCCCTCTAGGCCAAGTGGAGTTAAGGGAAAGTTTCTCGCTCCCCACTCTCATATATGCATAAGATTTTACCTGCAATGCAGGCAGGTGTGACAGGACTGCCAAATATGAGATTGTAATGAAGGATGCATGACACCTGATAGAACTGCATCCTCCCCCTCTCCTCTTCCATTCCCTGTCTCCTCTTCCATCACCTTCAGTCTTCACTTTTCTTCCTCCTCTTGTGCTCCTAACTCACTTCACCCTACCTCTATACCACAGTTTAAATGTGAAATATTTAAAAAAAACAATGTAGAACTATCAAGCTGTGCACACAAGTAGCCTATGAAACCAAATATTATCATTACCCTCAGCTACACTCCTACAACTTCTCTCCTACTGTTTGTTACACTCATTTCCCAAGTCTTGTTTTAGACTGCAAACTCTTCAGGCAGTACCATCTCTTCCAATGTACCTGTACAACTCCTAATACAAAGCCCCAATCCTGAATGGGGCCATTGGGTGCTACCACAATAATAATACTAAGAAGAAATAAGTACAGATGTATGCATCTCTTTCTGCTGTGCACACAGTCTTGAACCGAGTAGTGCTGGCAGCACTGTAACCACTGACAGACAAGGTTTCCTCTGGCAGCCCAGATGGGTGTGAAATTGCCTGTAAACGATTCATGTATTTCTCAATTGACAATTGAAAGTCTAGTCTTACCCATTTGCCTGAACTGGAAGATCTAGAAAGAAAAGAAGAATTTTGTGGGTTTTTTCCCCTAGAGTAAGTCATTTAATTCAGCAAATAGCAGATTAAAGGAAACCTAATATTAACTTTTTTTAAAATAGTAACCTCACCTAGTTGTGAAATGATGTGGATCATTAGCACATCTTGAATATCATTAAGCTAAAACTCCAGAAAGCTGCCATGTTCCCTGTGTGATTTCAATTTGTGAAATAGTCTGCCTGGGAAGAATATGTCTGGAGAACCAGTGAAATGACAACATCACAATGACACAAGACAGTGGAAGGATCTGTAGCTGAGCTGATTACAACTCTTTTTGTTAACATATTGGATAAATGATGTCTTTGTTAAGAACTCAACACCCTTGCACATTCAATTAAGAAGTTGGAACTCACAACAAAATGCTCCGTGACACCAAAGAAGTCTTCCAGTAAAATTAGGAAAGACAAGATTTAACATTCCTATGGTCTTGTCTAGCCAAAGTAGTTGTATCACTTAACTTTACCAGCATGATTAAAGCGGTGCAACTCCTCTAGTACTGACGCCACAATACCAAAATAGAAGTACTTATACTAGTATAACTGCATCCATGCTAAGTGTTGTCCTGGTATAACTATTTCAGTTTAAAAAAAAAAAAAAACATACTCCTAACCAAATTAGTTATACTAGTATAAAAATTGCGTGTAGATCACAAAAGATAACCCCTTCTGCATGTGCAAATATCAAGAGTAGATGTGGAATTTGCATGGTGATACCACCACACATCTGCAGGGAGCATGACACACATAGGTTGATCTTCCCCACTTCCCACAAGACAGATACTGCTCTGTTGCCATAGTGGCACAAATATGGAACAGCATCTCAGATGGCAGAAATCAAATAGAGATAATCTGCACTTTTCTTACACCAGTGCAGCATATCTACAGCAGGGTTTGTACCGGTGTAGCTAAACCAATGCGAAGAACTCCAATGTAGACAAGGTTAGAGCATGCTGAAGGAGGAGCTCTGTACATGTGCCAGTATACAGATAGACAACTTCACTGGAGGCAAAATCTGTAAGGAGGAAGGAAACAAACAACAAAGCAACCAACACATCCACATCCAGACACTCCTTTGAAGAAATTGCCAGAGAAGTTTGAGCACTAAAGCTTACCATTTTGCACAAAAGTGTTTTAAGAATACAACAAGCTTGAAAAACTGCTAAATCGTGCTTTTCAACCAGAAGAACCAGGAGTCAGCTAAAAACATAGGCTATGGCTACACTCTGAGGCTTTTAGCGACACAGTGAGAACATACGAATGTTTAGCATATCCTTGCAATGCCGGCTACAAAAGTGCCATGCAAATGCTTGTGCTCACTTTCTGGTGACACTGTAAATAAGAAGAGGGCAGCATTATCTCCTGTAAATGTAAACAAACTTGTTTGTGTTAGCAATTGGCTGAAAAAGAAGTAGGACTGAGTGGACTTGTAGGCTCTAAAGTTTTACATTGTTTTGTTTTTGAGTGCAGTTATGTAATAAAAAAAATCTACATCTGTAAATTGCACTTTCACGACAAAGATTACACTACAGTACTTGTATGAGGTGAATTGAAAAATACTATTTTTTATCATTTTTACAGTGCAAAAATTTGTAATAAAAATAATATACTTTGTATTCAGTGTTGTCACTGAAATCAATATATATGAAATTGTAGAAAAACATCCAAAATATTAAATAAATTTCAATTGATAGCCTATTGTTTAACAGTGCAATTAAAACTGCAATTAATCGATTAATTTTTTTAATCACAATTAATTGTTTTGAGTTAATCGCGTGAGTTAACTGCGATTAATTGACAGCGCTAACTAAAATCAATTTTAAAACCATTTGAGCTAAACTGGTGAGAACGCATGTGTGGACACACTAATTTAAATTGGTCTTCTACTGGTTAAATTTGAACCTGTAAATTTACTTAAACCAGTGAACTGTGTGTAGATCAGGCCTAAGGGTCAAGTTAGGTTAATTCTCTCTCATTAGAAAGAGATCCTGCAGGCCAAAAGATGGTCTCCCTCAGGGACACCTCTTTAGTCCCACTGCCTTCAATTTAAACCTAGCTTTATAATTAAGCTAAATCATATAAGCCAGATATTAATTTAAATAAGAATGTCCAACACAACGTTTTGCACTGGTTTAACTAAATAGGTTTAAAAACCACACTTTCACTTAAATCCATGTAACTTTGATTATGGACAAGGAAGGCCTTATTCTTTGTGACAATATACTATTCTGTTGATGCAAAAGAAGAAATATTTTCCAGCCTCTTAATGTACTGGCTCTTAGTACCAACAGGAATAAAAGCAGTAAAGTCTTCGTC